TTCTGGACACAGGTTGGCTGAGGTTCTGGGACACAGGTTGGCTGAGGTTCTGGGCACAGGTTGGCTGAGGTTCTGGGGCACAGGTTGGCTGAGGCTCTGGGACACAGGTTGGCTGAGGTTCTGGGACACAGGTTGGCTGAGGTTCTGGGACACAGGTTGGCTGAGGTTCTGGGACACAGGTTGGCTGAGGCTCTGGGACACAGGTTGGCTGAGGTTCTGGGGCACTGGGTGGTCTCAGGCTCTTGAGAGCATGAAGGCTGGTCATTTGGAAGCACGGGCAGAGTTATGGAAGCACAGGTACTGGTCACTGGGAACCCTGTTAGCTGAGACTCTTGGAAGTGGGAAGGATGAGGCTCGTACACCAGTTGCTGAGTCTGAGGCTTTGAATGGCAAACCAGCTGCTGGGACTGTGGAGACTCAGGGAAGCTGGGTAACGAAGACTCGGGGGCGTTGCTCGATGGATTATACATATTATATCATAAATTAAATGATAAATTAAAATGTTTATTTATCCGTTTAGGGAGCACTGAATGATGAAGCCTGAATGTGAGAATAAAAGCCTCTCCACTAGAGGGCAGTGAAAATCAGAGAGTCAGAGTCAGGACATTTACATTTTGTCATTCATCTCTGATTGTTTGGAAAATGAAATTTACATTTGATCCCTTTTTACATTGTTTGCAGAAGTATTTCATTGAAATTTGGTTCAGGAAGTGTAAACATTTTACATTATCATTTACATCTGTGACACATTACAAGAGAACCATTTAAGTAAAACTTGTAAGTGAATAAAAGCAAGGATATAAGCAACAGGTGAACTAACTACAGACATTTAGATGAATGCCAAACGTGTGGTGACAGTACAACCTTTGTGCTCGGTGTGTTTCTGCTCTCTTACCGACACCACACACAGGCTACAGGTGCATTTAAATCTGACCACCTGGAATGGGCATGGTAGCTGTAGCAAACCCAGCTACAGCAATTGATGAATCCTTTATCTGTTGGTTTATGTTACTTTACTTTTTTGCTTCATGCTGTGCAATAACTCACAAACAAACCGTAAGAGCTGTACATAAAACCAACAGAAAACAAACTTTATAAACATGCAAATAACCATTAAACCAAAACAGAGAAAAGGACCATAAATATTTATAATATTAACACATAACAAGAGATAAGGTATAAAATAGATAGTCAGGTTAATTTAGAACATTTTTACCAAGTCAAACAACAAAGTTAAAGAACCATATTAATAACATTTACTAACTACACCAAAGAATATATATAAATCACGTATTGATAACTATAGGCCTTAAATACACATAAATGAGCAATTAAATTTAGCAAAAAAAATCAACATAATAACTACATTTAACAGGACTCAATTAACCAAGGTCTAAGGGCGAGCGAATGAGATAGCATGGCTAAGCTAAAGGCTAGCACGCTTAAATAAATCACTGAAAACATCATAAAGATTACAAAGGTTGTACCTTGTACACCTTCCAGCTGGTTGCTAAAATGTGAGGGCGTGGATAACAGTGGTTTTTTAAAATCAATTAACACACTGACTGTCTACCTACCTGAGTCTTTTAATATCCGGTTTAAAGCAGGTAAGAAGCAAATCAGCCTTCAAAATAAAAGCTTCCCCCACAAAACAATAAGAAACAGATGAATACAAAATAAGAATCTTCACAACAACAATTAACAATAAGGTAAATACTTTTTAACTAGTAATACTTGTTTGATTTGTTTAAACCTGAGTCTTGTTTAATGTAAAACTCATATTATTAATCCTGTAAAATAATTCATAATCACTTTACAGGTGGACCACAGTAAGTCATTCACAAAGCTTAATACTAAATCATTTATCTGTTTGAAGTCATTTATTAAATGCAGTCTAGCTGCGTTCTTGAAGGAGTCTGTCCCGAGGATTCATTCTCAAAGTGGTTTCCTGTAAGGATTTCATTGGATGAGAGTAAACTAGAGGTTTCTTTGTCCATGTTTGTTGACTGTACTGTACAATGCAGCTGGATCTGCAGCTTGCTGACACTGGTGCTGAGAAGAAGAAAGACATGAGATTATATGATAACAGGCCAACAGTGATCACGGTAAATGATGAAAACACAATAAACAGAATGATGAAACAATAGTTTTGTGGTTAAAGATCATGTTATGTGAGGAGTTGTTTTACCTCTGGGCTGCACCGCCGCTGTTAAAGTTAACCACAGAGTACTCAACCATCTCCTCTTGTTCTCCTTCTTCTTCTTCCTTCTTCTTTTTCTTGTGTGTTTGGGGTTTAACTGGTTGGATGTTGGAGTAGAGAGGATCAGCCTGGTTCCTGGAAAAGTCGACAGTGGCATATTGAAGCTCATCCTGCTCCTCTGCTGGTTGTATCTGTGAACACCGGACAACAAAGAGTATTCAATTATTTACAGACAGACTTTTGAAAGACAGGATTCAAGGCTTGAGTTATTTACAGAGACAGAAGTTGTAATTTTACTGAAAGCAAAAGAGGGAACTTGAGACTTGAATCAGAAAACCAATCCTGTTTTTGGTGTTTCATTAAAAGCAGTTCATAATGTTATGGTTTGCCTTGTTGAATGCTGATGATCCTTGGGTGTCTTTATCATGGCCAGGAAAGCAACGCAACCCAAAAGGTCTCACTTTCCTTTTTTGGGGAGCTCTCAGAAAATCTTCAGTTTTTTTGGAAAAACCCAACATGTGAAGCACCAGGATGGAGAGAGCAAAAGCTTAAGCACTTACAGCAAACAAATAGGACAAACATTGCTGTAGGCAAACAAATCAAACACTATGTCAAGAGTTCAACCGTCCTGATTCATAAATTCAGAGACTTCCTCACCTGTTCACTGTTCTCTGGTCTGTCTCCGGGCTCAGACGGTTGCTTGCAGGCCCTCTTCTTTCTGGTGAGGTGCATTCATAGAAAAGTAAACCATATTGTTGTGTTTGTGAGGGTACAATGCATTAATCATCGAACAAGTATTTGCTGAGAAAGAAGAACTGCTCACATGATCCATATGACGACAAAGATGAGTATGATAATGAGGAAAATAGCAGGAACTGTCACAGCAGTCGTCAGTTTCCATCCTCCTGCTGAAACAGACAGAGACAGAAAGTTAACCTTACAAGTAAAAACACGTCATGAACACATTCTTACAACTTATTGTATTTTCTTTTGGTGAAATTGAAAAAGAAATAAGACCCAAACGAAGGACAAACACCCTGTTACTGTTAAAACAGACTACGATACTCACTTTTGACATTTATCAAAAAATTGTGACAAAGACTTAAAAATGTAACGTTTAGTTCAGCATCTCAAAC